TTTCAGTTGGCAATGTTCAAGGTTCACTGATTAAACAAAAAGATATATTTTTTTATCCCAGGTTTTTGTTACAGACTATTATGGTGAAGGGCTCTTGATCCAGGTGTTTTGATTTTGAAGAGCTCTTGATCCAGGTGCTTTGATGTTGAAGGGCTTTTGATCCAGGTATTTTGATGCTGAAGGGCTCTTGATCCATGTGCTTTGGTATTGAAGGGGTCCTGATCCAGGTGCTTTGATGTTAAAGGGCTCTTGATGCAGGTGCTTTGATGTTGAGGACAAATAAAATGCAGATGTAGTGTACGCAGACTTTGCGAAAGCCTTCGACAAGTACGATCATGGTGTAACAACATGCAAAATGTGTGATAACGCTCTCGCTTCACAGGGCGAGGGCCTGGGTTCGATTCCCAGCCAGAGTAGAAACATTGGGCGTGTTTCTTTCCACCTGTTGTCTATGTTCCCCATCAGTAAAATGGGTACCTGGGTGTTAGTCGACTGGTGTGGGTCGCATCCTGGGACACTGACCTAATTTGCCCGAAATGCGGAGCATAACAAGGGACTTTCTATATAGTAGTATCCCCTCAAGGAAGGTTCCTTGACGCTGGTGAGGGGCTCTTGATCTAGGGAATTGGATCTGTGCTCCAGTTCCCTGAATTAAGCCTGAATGCCTTCCATCCCCCCATTGGCGCTGTATAATCCTACGGGTTTAGTGCTTCCCCTTGATTATAATAATAATAACAATAATATATAGTAGTATGTCATTATTGTCAGCTAGGACTGTGTACCTTGTACATGTACTTGTAGCAAATAAAGATATTATTATTATTATTATTATATTATTATTATTATTATTATTATTATTATTATAAAGGAATAACAGAAAAAGTGGGGAAGACGGATCTTTAACTTCCTAACAAAGAGAACACAAAGAGTAACGTTAGTGGCGGCTAGATTGAAAAGTTCTGTTCCACAAGGTACAGTACTCGCTCCCATCCTTTTCTTCATCCTCATAATTGGCATAGACAGAAATGTAAGCCACAGCACCGTGTCCTCTTTTGCTGACGATACAAGAATTTGCATGAGTGTCATCCATTGAGGACACTGCAAATCTCCAAGCGGACATAACTAAAGTCTTCAATTGGGCCTCAGAAAATAATATGAAGTTCAATGAGGAGAAATTTCAATTACTCCGCTATGAAAACCTCGAGGAAATAAAAACTGGACAGGTATATAACAAATTCCAACCTCACAATAGAGCGATAAACTAATGTGAAGGACCTGGGAGTAATAATGTCAAGGAATGTAACTTTCAAATATCATAACAATGTCTCTACCACACCTGCTAGGAAAATGATAGGATGGATAATAAGAACCTTCAAAATTGGGGATGATTCTCTTCAAATCTCTTGTTCTCTTTAAGCTGGAGTGTTGCTGTACACCAACAGCCCCTTTCAGAAGTGGAGAAAACACAGTGAACTTTCACTGCGCGTGTAAGTGCAATAAAGCACCTAAATTACTGGGACCGGTTGAAGTCCTTTGACCTGCGAGAAAGATGCTTCATAATATACAGTTTGAAAATCCTAGACGGACTAGTCCCAAAACTGAACACGGAAATCACTTCAAAAGAAAGAGAAAGACTCGGAGGTGGTGCATTATTATTATTATTATTATTATTATTATTATTATTATTATTATTATTATTATTATTATCATCATCATCAAGGGGAAGCGCTAAACCCGTAGGATTATACAGCGCCTGTGGGGGAATGTGGAAGGTATTCAGACTTAATTCAGGGAACTGGAGCACAGATCCAATTCCCTATATCAAGAGCCCCATCACCAGCGTCAAAGAACTTTCCTTGAGGAGAGGAGGAGGGGGGGGGGTGCAACATCTCCCCAATGAAAAGCAGTGGCGCCATGAATTCACTAAGAGATAACACAATAAGTGTTAGGGGCCCAAGACTGTTTAACTGCCTCCCATCATACATAAGGGGGACTACCAATGGACCCTCTAGCTGTCTATAAGAGGGAGCTAGACAGGTATCTAAAGTCAGTATCTGACAAACCGGGCTGTGGCTCGTACCTTGATTTGCTTACTTCCGACTGTAATAGCTTGGTTGATCAGACTCTGATCCACCGCGAAGCCTGGTCACGGTTCGGGCCACGGAGGCGTTGACCCCCAGAACACCGTCTAGGTTCCTTGATGTTGAATTCTTTTGATAATAGGGGCCTTGATGCTAGTGAAAGGCTCGTGACAAGTAATTAAAGCTGCCCTCCCCTGCCTCAGATCAAACTTGTTTACTTTCCATTCTCCGGGTGTTGTTTTACCTCTAAGTCTAAGGGTTTTCTGATTCCAAAGATATAATACTAGTAATTAGCTCGTGCGGGTCTAGCGCTACTAAGTCTTCAAAACTGCCAGCTTCCTATAATATTTATCACTGGATTCCTTGTAAGTAAAGTCTAGTTACTACCTACAACAAAACTGAAGGAGGTTTCCATAATTGCTGAATTTCTGGACCACCTCCAAATACTTATTTTATTTAGAGTGTAGGAAGCACTAGATCAATAGGGGTTATATAGGGCCTGAAAAAAGGGAGGCAATCAGGTTCGATTCAAGGAAAGGGAGGATAAGTTCAGTTCCTTGGATCAAGAGCCCTTCAACAACATCAACGAACCTCCCTCGACGGGTGGAAATTTTGCATCTTGAACTGTTTCCGCTAGCAGGCCCCCGCCCACTTGTGACTACCTCTGCTACTGCTGCATCACACCACTTTCACTGACTCTAAAAGCCTGTTCTTATATTTCTGTATTAAATTGATAAAGGCATTGGTAAGTGAAACGTCTCTCAAATAAGGTGCCCAGATGTTCCGCATGAGTCTAATTCATTATCCTGGGTTAAGTCTAAGTAATGTGCTAGATATGTACCAAAAACATCTGTATTTTCAAAATCACTGCATATTATATACGGGATACCTAAACCTAATTAATAGTATTTCAACGTTTGAACCTCATAGTCACCCAAAAAAAAAAAAACTGAGAATAGCAGTAGTTTATTTAGGCACAGGCACAAATTAATAGAGTTGCACAAATTATCATACATAGTAACATATGTGTAATTACCTACCTAGAATAACCCAGAAAGTCAGACAAAGTAACAAAAGCTACATACTCCCAATTTATGCATTTGTTGATAGTATGTGAGTGAGGCTGGCTGTTAGGCTGTCTGTGAGGCTGGCTGTTAGGCTGTCTGTGAGGCTGGCTGTTAGGCTGTCTGAGGCTGGCTGTTAGGCTGTCTGTGAGGCTGGTTGTTAGGCTGTCTGAGGCTGGCTGTTAGGCTGGCTGTTAGGCTGTCTATGAAGCTGGCTGTTAGGCTGTCTGTAAAGCTGTTTATTAGGCTGGTTGTCTGAGGCTGTCTGTGAGGCTGGCTGTTAGGCTGTCTGTGAGGCTGGCTGTTAGGCTGTCTGTGAGGCTGGCTGTTAGGCTATGAGGCTGGCTGTTAGGCTGTCTATGAGGCTGACTGTTAGGCTGTCTGTAAAGCTGTTAGGCTGGTTGAGGTTGTCTGTGAAGCTGGCTGTGAGGCTGTCTGTGAGACTGGCTGTTAGGCTGTCTGTAAAGCTGTTAGGCTGGTTGTCTGAGGCTATCTGTGAGGCTGGCTGTTAGGCTGTCTGTGTGGAAAATTGCATTTACTTGGATGTATCATTATTTACATAACAGTAAATGAACAAAGATAATTATTATTTATCAGTTAGACAAGTAGGAATTTGGAACACCTAGGTCGCAAAAAATGTCCCCCTTCGATACCTACCACTGTCATATCCACAAGTTGCTCTGGACCTATTAATTACAAATGAAAAATACATCACCAGGAATGCTGGTAAATATATAAATTTGTGGACTGTATATTAAATTAAAAAATTATTATATATAAACACATATACATAACAGAAGGAGAATATCTTAATATCACTCACCAATTTGACTGGAGATTAATGTGTCATGTACAGGACCCCCCTTTTGCCTACATTTATGAAAAATTTACTGGCCAGAATTTAAACATAAATTAGACAGCTTATCTGAGGTTCCTGGAGTTGTCCTGTCCTGTCGACTGATACTCAAGTTATGCAGGAATGCACATCCAACAATTTCGTCTCCTATTTGAGAGGTGTCAGCCCAAATTTAACCTCTAGAGCACGAAAGATTCTTCCCATTACACAATGTCTGTTACTCTCAATTCAAACAAAAATGGCGACTCCTTTCTCCCCAGGCTCAGTTTCCCATTTTCTATGACATAAATGTTATTAAATACAGTATGGCCATCTATATACATATAAATACCGAATTTCTCGAAAATGTATGCAGTATTTTCCACAGTCTGTGAGGCTGGCTGTTAGGCTGTCTGTGAGGCTGGCTGTTAGACTGTCTGTGAGGCTGGCTGTTAGGCTGTCTGTGAGGCTGGCTGTTAGGCTGTCTGTGAGGCTGGCTGTTAGGCTGTGAGGCTGGCTGTTAGGCTGTCTGTGAGGCTGGCTGTTAGGCTGTCTGTGAGGCTGGCTGTTAGGCTGTCTGTGAGGCTGGTTGTTAGGCTGTCTATGAGGCTGGCTATTGGGCTGTGAGGCTGTCTGTCTAGCTGTCTAGCCAGCCTGGCTGGCTGGCTATGTCTAGCCAGCCTGGCTAGCTGGCTGTCTGTCTAGCCAGCCTGGCTGACTGTCTGTCTGTCCAGCCAGCCTGGCTGACTGTCTGTCTGTCTAGCCAGTCTGGCTGGCTGACTGTCTGTCAGTCTGGCTGGCTGGCTGGCTAGCTGGCTGTCTGTCTAGCCAGCCTGGCTGACTGGCTATCTAACCAGCCTGGCTAGCTGGCTGTCTGTCTAGCCAGCCTGGCTGTCTGTCTGTCTGTCTGGCTGTCTGTCTAGCCAGCCTGGCTGACTGTGTGTCTAGCCAGTTTGGCTGGCTGTCTGTCTGGCTATCTAGCCAGCCAGGCTGGCCGTCTGTCTGTCTAGCCAACCAGGCTGGCTGTCTGTCTGGCTGTCTAGCCAACCAGGCTGGCTGTCTGTCTGGCTGTCTAGCCAGCCTGGCTGGCTGGCTGGCTGTCAGGCTGTCTAGCCAGCCAGGCTGGCTGGCCACGCAGCCATATTGTAAACAATTGTTTCTTCCTATAAGCGTGACTGGTTAGTAACCTTGATATTTATCCATGTGTTGGTGTTATTCCCCGTGTTTCTATGTTGTAATTCGCTCGTTAAAGTCAAAATAGGTTGACATAAAGCCGGGTGTGATGTAAATTACCAGAGATATCCTGAGCTAGATGAAACACAATGCCAGGTGGTGGTGCTGCTCCTCTGGTTAATATCTATGCAAAGTTTTTGTTTTCAGGGCTCGTTCATTAGTTTAATTTTTTAAAACAGACTTACGGGTGCTATGGTCACAAGTATATTGTACGTTATGTAGACTAACCCAAGATAACTAGTACGCCTGCAAGGTGTATTGGAGGTGATATAAGAACCCCAATGGAATAAGTCACTTTTGACTTTTTTAGAGGGTTATAGTAGGAGATAATCTACACACATGCTGCTATGTATAATAATATATGTAGCTGTATTTATGTGTACCTGTACTTGAATAAACTTACTGACCCTGCCTAACTTTGACTTTTTTCGGGGTTATCCTAGGTAATTTACACTGATAATTGTACTAATGTGCACCTGTGCCTAAATATACTTATTTATACCTTACCATTCCCACTTATAAATATTTAATTTATAATTAAAGATACTCTAGGTTACTGATTTTTTTGGGGGTTATCCTAGATAATTGACACATGTTAATATGTATGATAATTTATGTAACTGTATATGTATCTGTACCTAAATAAACTTATTTATTCTACGTGATAGTTTGTTCCACTACCACATCTTTACTGCCAAGCACCGAGTCACAATTTGAACTCATTATGTTATCTTATAATAAATTTACATGACAAGGATCTCAATGGAAATAAGTCACTTGTCTGACGTTTTTGGTTTATTGTAGGTAATTTACCCCTCAAGGAAGGTTCCTTGATACTGGTGAAGGGCTCTTGATTTAGGGAATTGGGTCTGTGCTCCAGTTCCCTGAATTAAGCCTGAATACCTTCCATATCATCCCCCCCCCCCACAGGCTCTGTATAATCCTACTGGTTTAGCATTTCCCCTTGATTATAATAATGTAGGTAATTTACACTATGTATGATAATTGTACTTATGTATACCTGTGGCTAAATAAACTTACTATTTAATGTATGCCTGCAGCATCGTGTGCCCTCTGAATCACTGTACAAATTCAAATGATTATAAAATCATTTGTAAATTTCTTGATTAAAGTTTATCTTAAGCCACCCAACAGGTTTAGTAGTACTTCCCCACAGTAACCTATTTATCCATAAAATTTATATGAAAGAAAACATTAGTAATGTAAGTGATGTCATACCAAATCATGTGAGTGTGATTTTCAGGCAGCATCATGAAATGGTTGAGGGAATGAATGGTCACGCTAAGGATGAGGGAAGTGGAGGTGGTACAGGAGATGATGATAATATTTGCCGTGACTTCTTAAGGAATGTTTGTCGACGCGGAAAGCGATGCAAGTTCCGCCATCCTGATGATGGTGAACAGGGACCTCAAGGATTAACTCAGATTAAGGCTGATTTAACCTTCTGTCATGATTACCAAAATGGACATTGTACACGTCCAATGTGTAGGTAAGTAACAAAATTTATTTAAATTTTGCTTTAATTTATATTTACAGTATTTTTATTGAAATATAGAGTCTTCATTGTAACCATTTCCTCAATTTTCTGTATAAAATATTAAACTATATTTATTAATAGTTGAAGGGTCACATCCATTGCCTGGTTTTAGTCCTGGCCCTAAAATTGCAATAGAAATATTACAGGAATGAAATCTGTTAAGAAACACTGAAAAAAAAACTAATTTATCTGAACCTGAGTGTAAATAAATGCAGTGAAAAGCATGGGGCTTCACAGGGACACTTTCCAGCCTGCTACCATCAGATAAGTAACACTTTGGGAGAAAGTGTAAAAGTTTTCAAGAAGAAACTGAATCACTACTTCATAAAATTGTACCAGATCAAGCAGGCTGTGTTGGATATGGAGGCCAGCGGGTCATAAGTGGTGTTAACAGGGGTTAAAGTAAATAAATTTCTAGTCTTTTTGTAGTGCTTTACTCTGAGAAGTTTTTCAGTAGCTGTGAGAACACATCAGTAGAATTGGTACTGATAAATTTTTGCTTTTTATTATTTTCACTAACTTATGCTTATCCACTTTTTAATAGGTCATATCATTCTAAATTGTCTTAAATGCCATATTTTAGTTACTGTGGTTTTAAGCATAGTACTTATTAAAAGTGGCTCATGTACAATGTTTGGTAGAGGTGAGAGGCTTGGCTTATTGAGAAATATATAATGCTAGGACCCCCCTTTCTCAATAGGTCCAATACAATGATAAGGCCATATTTATTTTATTATTATTGCTATATTATCTTTTTTTTTTTTTTCAAGATTTATTCATTGTACATGTGAGGATGAAGACTATTATCTACGCACTGGAGATATTCCTCCACATGTTCTTGATCAGGCCATTCGCAAGGGACAGCTTGGAGATGTTACACTCAATGGGGATGTTCCCATTTGCAAGGTAAAGGTTACTGTTTAATTCAGTTATTGTAATATTCTGTAATTGCTCTTGTTGTAAGGACTCGGTTTTGCATTTCATATATAGTACAGTGGAACCTTGTGTTTCGGTCATAATCCGTTCAAGAAGCTCAGCCGAAACTCAGATTCTTCGAAAGTCAAAGCAGTATTTTCCATAAGAAATAATGTAAATCCAATTAATCCGTTCCAGACACCCAAAAATATTAATAAAAAAAAACTTTTTTTAAAGAATAACTATAGTTTACAAACACAAAACAATTATAAATGCATATACAGTGGTCCCTCGTTTTTCGTAATTAATCCGTTCCTGGAGGAGCTACTATAAACGAAATTTACGATTTGCGAATCAATTTTCCCCATAAGAAATAATGTAAATACAATTAATCCGTTCCTGACACCCAGAAGTATTAAAACAAAAAATTTTTTTACATGAAATATACATATAGTACATAAACAATATAATGGTAAATGATGAATGAAACATTAACAGCATAACACTTACCTTTATTGGAGATTCTTCTTAGTGTATTGGAGACTGGAGGAGGAGAGAGATTGGATTGTTTACAGTTTGGAAGGGGAATCCCCTTCCAGCAACACCTCAGGTACCAATTGCTTCTCAGGGGTTGCTTCTCTTCTCTGTTTCTTAATGCCACTAGGACCACCTTGAGAGTCACTCTAGTCCTGTCTCGCTAAGTAACTGTGGAGAGAGCTCTGTTTCTGGCGTCTCTTTAACACTTCCCTAAAATGGCCCAAGACTGTGTCACTGTACATATTTCTCACCTTCTTTACCACAGGCTTGGCACTAGGAGCTTTCTTTGGAGCCATGGTAGCTTATTTAGTAATTGCAAGCACTAAAATGAGTGAAATATTATGAAATATTTCGTAGGAGCACTTGAGGGGACCTTCACTCACTGGTAAACAATGCCAGAGTGGCTGGGTAGGGAGGCCGCCCTGGCTCACACCGTGCGTACGCATTCCGGACGAACTACTATTGGCCAGTCAACCTATGAAAAGCGAGTCCATGTTTATACGAAAATACCCCTATGATTGGCGAAATTTACAATTGCCGAGAACTACGAAAAGCGAGGGACCACTGTACTAGTACAGTGGACCCCCGGTTAACGATATTTTTTCTCTCCAGAAGTATGTTCAGGTGCCAGTACTGACCGAATTTGTTCCCATAAGGAATATTGTGAAGTAGATTAGTCCATTTCAGACCCCCAAACATACACGTACAAACGCACTTACATAGATACACTTACATAATTGGTCGCATTCGGAGGTGATCGTTATGCGGGGGTCCACTGTACTTGAATAATGAAATAGATAAATAAACATTTAAAATCACATTTACATACCTTTATTGAAGACTCTTGTTGACGTATAGAAGACAAGGAGGAGAGAAGGAGGACTTATTATTGTTTGGAAAGGGAATCTTCCATAAAGACTTTAGGTACTAGGACCAGCTTGAGAGTCACTGGACCCCTGTCGTACAAAGAAACTGTCCAGAGAGCTCTGTTTCTGGCGTCTCTTTAGCATTTGTCTGAAATGGGACATGGTTTTGTCACTGAACATGTTGCAGAGATGGCTTGTTTCAGCTTGCTCAGGGTGATATTTTTCAGCAAAAGCTTGCACCCTACTCCACATTGCACAAATCTTCTTAATCTCTGAAGAAGGCACCTCTTTCCCTCCCTCTTCCTCCTCCTCTGAAGCAAGTCCTTCAGCTGTGGTCTGTTGCTATTCCAGATGAAGGTCTTGCAGCTCTTCAGTGGTTAGCTTTTCCCTGTGGTCCTCCGCCAACTCTTCCACATCCTGGCCACTCACCTCCAACCCCATGGACATCCCCAAAGACACAGAAGATTCCACAACAGGTGTAGGGTTGACAGGGTCACCCTCAAACCCTTCAAAATCCTTCTCTTCGACTCATTCTGGCCACAATTTTCTCCAAGCAGAGTTCAAAGTTCTGGAAGTCGCTCCCTGCCAAGCCTTACCAATAAGGCTTATGCAGTGTTACAAAAAATGCAATTCTAAAAGCTTAGAGATCTCCAGTGAATACTAGAAAGGACTGCCCTTCTAGCATCCAGCCTGTTACTGGGCTTTCGTAACAATTAGTCAGTATCCTTGTCCAGTTATCCATTAGAATTCAGTATGATTCAATAGTGCTTCAGGATTACAACTGGTAGGCTACTTACTAGAGAAATTAAAATTTAATAAATTTATTAAGTCTAGAGGTATATTATCAAATTAAATTAAATTAAATTAATCACAGTAATCAAAATAATATCACTTCTCTCGAGTACAATATTATTGTGCTGAAAGCACATATCACATTTATAATTCTTAAGTACCGTCTGGTACATTAACATTTAATAAGATATTACAAATATGTACAAGTAATTTTGTGTGTATGTGTGTAAGTGCTCTAAGTAGTTCGCTTTGTCTCACGACTCGACTAGACTTAAACAAGTGACTGGCAAAGTCCTCACATAAACTAACTTCTTGACCGACTGGCAGTCAGAACAGTCTGCTTGAGCAATAAAAAGAATGCTAAGCCCAATAGCAATATAACAAGCGACTGTGGCACAGAATCAGGAACAAGGAGATAAAATAACGACACTAAGTAGGGACCATCTGCAGATCCTCCACAAAAGTCACATATCTCCCATACTACTGAATCTAAGTTCAGCATAAGAAAATCCCCGACTGTGATAATACACAGATACCAGTACAAGTTAGGTCAGAAGCTACAGCTCAGGACCTGAGTTGCTCAGAGTGTCTATGCGACACACAACCTCAGTACAACGTCGAAAATCACTAAGTCTATACAATGTTCTGTGAACAGAGTTCTACAGAACTAACAAGAATAATGAGACAGACAATCTGTCCAACCACCAAGAGAGTCTAGATCAGACTGAATACTTCAGGCGAGGTGAGGACACCCCCCCCCTCGATCACGTGACAGCTCCGTGGGTTGCTGCCCAGCAAGAAGCCGGCAGGGAAACGAGCAAAGAGCGATAATTACAGTAGTTAGACAATCAAGACTTGAACTGAGCACATAATATGTTACATCCTACCTAACCAAAGGAAGCTAAGTCAAATAACAATATAAAGCAATACATTTACGATTTAGCTATTATCGCAAATACAAGCAATATAAAATTATATGAAAAGGTAATAATTATATATATACATAATAATCATTGCAACCCATTCAGGGGTTGCAACATGCAGTTGTAGATACTAAAGTGATTCCTCCAGTCGTATTGTAGATATTGAACAAAAAACAATGGATTATTGTGAAATGTTTGGATGAACATGCAGGGTAATGTTCACTCGAGGAGAAACAAAGCCAGACTGACTCACAAAGCATGTGTGGGATGCTTCGTGTGGGCACAGACAGGTCTGGTACGGCTACCGAAGCTCAAGGTACTACTCAAAACTCAAGACAAAATTTAGGTGAAAAAAGTGACTGAAACTCAAAACGGCTGAAACTTGGGGTGGCCGAAACTCAAGGTTCCACTGTATACACAAATTTCATTATTGAAGAGGAAACTGTGTAATGTAACCTGGCAGAGATGTCATAAAATAGCATTATACATTAATATTGAAGTTTGTATTTTTGTAGCCATGGCAGAACAAGAGTTTCTGTTTAGGTTCTGTAAACCAATAACAGAATAGCAACCTTTTGGTTGACCTTTTATTACAACAGCCTGTTCTTATCTTGTATTTTCTAGTTCGTCTGCATTCTCTCACACTGGTTGTAGTTCCTCGTGATATGAGCATCCATAATATAATGTATGTGTTACTATATTTCTCTTGTGTTATATGTAACATGGGCAATATTAATTTTAACAGGACTATCTAATGGGAGAATGTTCAAGACGAAGAGGTGGTAAGTGCAAGTTTCGACATCTGACCCAAAGGGAATATGAGCAAGAGATATATGGAACCAACCATGGAGATATTGACCAAGGAGCCAACCATTATGAACATTCAGGCAACCCTGACCGGCTTGGAAGCTTGGGTCCACCAGACCCAAAGCGACACAGGCTGGAACCCAAACTTCTTCCAATTGATTTTCAAAGAGAAGGAGAATTTTTGCTTCCCATGGAAGAGATAGGAAGGGACATTCTTGGTAGGGATATCAGTTTGAGAGAATTCCGAGATAGGGATCGTGAACGAGATAAGGAACGAGATAGAAGGGGGTTGGAAGAGATTCTCCTCATGAGGAAGCAAATGGATAATCTGAAGAAGGAAAATACATCACTCAAAAAAGAAGTTTCAGACCTTAGAGCAACTAATGAGTTTCTTCTGGATCAGGTCAGTCACTTACTATCATTTGTGATATTCCTATAGATGAATGCACAGAAGTGCTGTGTTGGCTTATTTTATGAAATAGCTTAATGACTTTGGAGAGCTGATTATGCACTAGTTTCATAAAACTAATCTTTCAGTCTTTGTTAAGGCCTAGAGTTAGCTAAACATTCTTGTTTGGATTTTGTAGTATAAGTGGAAAAAAGTTCAATACTTTTCTGTTCACTAGAAGCATTATTTACATGTCTAATGATACCCATTATAGATTTGTTTAATTTCTTTCATTTTAAAGCGGGATCATTAAGCCTTATAATAATAGTGACTACTCACTGGATTTGTATCAACATACATTAATGCTATATTACCTTTAGTAAGGTTACTTCATGTGTAATCTATATACTATCATGACCACTTTCAGAAATTAAAGATTTTAAAGGAGCACTATCAGTATTGTCTGAATACAGCCTCTTCTCACTTAACAATGGAGTTCCGTTCCTAAGACCATGTTGGTAACCGAATTTGTTGCTAAGTGAGGAGCATACTATATTGGTAGTGGGTTTGTGTCAGCTATCTTTGATATTGTTTTAATGTCACATTTGCACCATTTATAACATTTCTGGTATATTTTTAAATGTCTATACAGTAGTGTACTTTTTTTTTTTTTTTTTTTTTTTTTTTTTTTTTTTTTTTTTTAACAAGTCGGCCATCTCCCACCAAGGCAGGGTGACCCAAAAAGAAAGAAAATCCCCAAAAAGAAAATACTTTCATCATCATTCAACTCTTTCACCTCACTCACACATAATCACTGTTTTTGCAGAGGTGCTCAGAACACAACAGCTTAGAAGCATATACGTATAAAGATACACAACATATCCCTCCAAACTGTAATAAACAGAATAGAGGAAATCAGCTCTAATATTCATTATTTAGGTATGCATATTGGTCAGAGAGCCCGTTGTAAGTCCGAGGTGTTGGTAAATGAGTATATCACTAAGTGAGGAGAGGCTGCATTTACTTTTATTTATGTAAAACACAAACCCATGTGAGTCATTCAGTGCAAGGAGCGGTGGAGGCTCAATAAACCATCTGCCAGTTGCAAGATAGACATACTACCTACCTGTACTCACTGGAAGTTTAAATATCATCTGAAGAATTCCATAAACTGTTTTGGCAACTGCTGAAAAGCAGACTGTAACTGTCTCTAAAAGTACAGTGGAACCTCAGTGTTCGAACGAACCAGAGTCCGAACAGTTTTTCTCAGAAAAAAATTGACCCAGTCTTTGAACGTTTTTCTGGAGTCCCAGCACACTTGCTTGTTTACAATTAAATTGTAAAAAGATTTACACAAAAGCTGTTTCAAAAGTGCTTCGAAGTGACCTCTGACATTGACCTAACTCTCAGAGACTTTGGGAAAAGTCAGCTCAACATTCTCCAGTGTGTGAGACTGATAATTAAAGCCTGGGAATTACTGTTTCGGACATTGAACTTTTTGCAGTTCAGGCAACTAGGAACCAGTGAAGTTCAAACACTGAGGTTCCACTATATATAAAATAGGAGGAATGATGTTAAAAAATCAGGAAGGCATAATTAAGGGAGGGAAAAAAAAAGAGAACTGGAGAGGAGATATAAATAAAAGGGAAAAGTGGACATTGAGACATGTAACTCAACATTGCTGCAGTGTGAATGTAACCAAACAAGGAGCAGACATTCAGAGAATGTCTGCTCCTTCCCACTGTGTTTCCTGAATGGTAATTTATAAGGCTTATTACCAATAAGTACGTATATAAAATTAAATACAGGTAATGGACTTTAAAGATATTGGCTGTAAAATTTATTTGTATTTGCATTTAGTTATATAATTTACATTTGTATGCTATATAAATTAATCACTTAGGCTAATTAATTCCTTTGGTTTGTTTACTTAGGGAAGCTTTGTTAAATAGTGTTATTTTTGTTGATCCTTACAGTTAAGCATCAGAAAGCTTTTTTACTACACAATGAAGGAAGATATATCTGGACATGACTGCTGATGCGTGGTCTTGATTATTAGGTTTGCTCTTGTAAGGGTGGAAGGTAGGATTCATTCTGAATTCTGTTTAGTTTTCAATATTTCAATAGTATCCAACTAGTAATTGTCAGGTTGCTTTTTTTAGCTTTAATATCTGTCTGTAGATAAAAGGCAAATGAATTGAGAAGTTTTAAATAAAAATTCAAAGAACTTTCCTTCATTGGTGTGCCTTGATGCTAGTCAAGGGCTCTTGATATAAGGAATTGTAGGTGCCTCATCCATCTTTGGATAACATAAGGCACTACATGACACTTATGAGATTAGGGCTTCCTAATGATTTAACCCTTTGAGGGTCAAGACCCCCGATTCTGAACTTGCTCTCAGGGTCGAAAAATTTTCAAAAAAAAAAAAAAATTCTTATAAAATGATAGAGAATCTTTTCCTGATGGTAAAGACACCAAAAGTATGAAATTTGATGGAAAACTTACAAAATTACGCTCTCGCAAAGTTAGTGATATCGGCGATCTTTACGCATCGGCGATTTTGCACTTTTTGAGCCCTATTTTCAGTCAATTCCATTGTTTCAGTCGACTAAAATCATAGCCATTTCACTAGAACTCCATTTTTTGTATTGATTGAGGACAACAAACCGCCCATTTACCGATTTCAACTACCCAATAAAGTGGTTAGAAATTGGCAATTTGGCCAATTTCACACAAATTTCTAAAGATACTAATATCAAAATAAAGTCCAGAATAAACAAGACAGACATTCCTGGCACTAAAATAACATTTTCTCTGTTCATTAGTCATGTCTCCAGGCCCCACTTATATTACTCTTGCTTTCTGTTTTGAATTTTTATTCTCACAAAAAATAGATTTACTGTTATGTAGACTACTGCATTATTGTAAAAATGGTATAAACAATATCAGCACACTTGTGAAAGAATACTAGACTCACCAGTTGACGTGTATTGGATGCGGGGGGTGATTTGTTTACTCTTGAACATCAGCAAAAATCGAACATTTCCGCTACTTTGAGCTCAGTTTCAAGGTACTTTTCATCGTGAAACCAATCAAAATCATTTCTATCTCTGTAATATACCTTCCATTCTATCAAATGAGAGCAAGAAAACGAGAATACAACCATAAATACCATAAGAAAATACATTGCAAAGTCACTGTATTAAACCATTATGTACTGCATACTGCAGGATTTTTTTTTATACTGTGCACACTGACCACACTAGACCCATTCTTTCATATGTAGGCCTACCAGCTTTCTTCCGCTCGATTTGAAGGCAATAAAATTTTGGCGTATAAGTACGGCACCGACCCTGGCTCTCAAGCTGTACACGTACGGCACCAACCCTGGCTCTCAAGCCATACATGTACGGCACCGACCCTGAGAGGGTTAATAATACTTTTGGAAAAATATGAAAGTACATTTTAGGTTTGATTTAAATAAAATGTGGATCATCTAAAGTGTTTCTCATGAAATTTTCATGGGCAAAAAAATATGAGAGACCAACACAGACAAATTTTGATTGGAATATTTGATTACTGGTAATGAAAAATGTATTGTAAAATGTCAAAAAATTATGATAACAATATTGGGTGATTCTGATATATTCCTTTATGCTTATAGCAAGGTAAAAGGGAGTATATAGGCATAGGAGGTTTTGGAACAATTCAAACTTGTACTCTGACTATGCCTCAATCCTTCACATGCCTGAGGTTGCACACTAACATGCCATGTGTAACTTTCAGATGTTTATCTCATTGTTCAATGTCTCTTAGGATTTTTTTATTTTAGGGGTTGTGGGTGGGGGAGAGTTATATGTCCAAATATTTGCCTCGGTGGGAGACGGCCGACTTGTTGAAAAAAAAAAAAAAAGAAAATATGCTATTATGTGTGTAAACTATAATTCTAAAACATTTAAAAACCAAGATACTGAATTTATATTTTTAACATACCAGCTGTTTCTCATCCAGGTAGGGTAGCCCACGAAAGAAAACTCATTCACCACCATTCATTCTGTAGCAGTCGTGCCAGAAGTTCACAAACATCACAATTCAAATGACACTCTTGTGCGATGTCCCATCCCCTCCTTCAGTGTGCAAGCACTGTATTTTCCACTTACAGGACTCAAGGCTGACTAACCAGTTTTCTTGAATCTCTTCATATATGTTACTGTGCTCATCATCTATTCAAAGTTCTGTGTATAAACTGAAAAAGTCAGTATTTTTTATTTACCATAGTGTAGAAATATGTAACTGCACTGTGGTAAACCTTTTTCAGTACCACTTGTAAGCTCACTTCTGCTAAAGTTCTGGCATCTTTAGTTTAACAAATATTCAGATTTTAAAATTTTGGTTTGTTTAAACTTACACATTCGGTTTGCCAAATATTTTATTTTTACATTAAAATGCCTAAGTAAGAGACATGCAGAGGAACAGCTGCTATCCCTTTATGACCTTGTGAGTTATCACTGACAGTGAATAAAATGGAGAAATTAACCCTTTGACTGTCGAAGGGCCAAATCCTGAAGTTGCTTCTGGTGTCGCAAAATATTCGAAAAAAAAAAAAATTATTTTTTCTTATGAAATGATAGAGAATCTTTTCCCGATTGTAAAGACACCAAAAAAACGAAATTTGATGGAAAACTGACGGAATTACGCTCTCGCGAAGTTAGCGACTTCGGCGATATTTAAAAATCGGCAATTTCGCCCACTTTGAGCCCTATTTTCGGCTAATTCCGTTATTCCAGTCAACCAAACTCATAACTATTTCTTCAGAACTCTATTTTTTCTATCGATTGAGTACAAGAAACTGCCCATTTACCGATTTCAACTACCCAATAACATGGTCAGAAATTTGCAATTTGGCCAATTTCACGAAAATTAAAAAATACGACAATTTCAAAATAAGGTCCAGAATGAACAATGCAGACATTCCTGGCTCTAAAATAACATTTTCTTTGTTCATCAGTCATGTCTCCAGGTCCCTGTGATATTACTCTTGCTTTTTATTTTGAAATTTTATTCTAACAAAAAATAGAAGATTTACTGTTATGCAGACTACTGCAATACTGTAATAATTGTAAAAATTACATCAACCCATTCATGACTGCGTATTATAATGGCTATTTGGACATTTATTGGACAATGACATCATTTGTTCACTTTTGAACATCGGCAAAAATCAAACATTTCCTGTACTTTGTGCTCCATTTCCAGGTTCTTTTTATAGTAAAATTAATCAAAATCACCTCCATTTCTATAATATAGTTTCCATTCTATCAAATGAGACCAAGAAAACGAGAATACAACCACAAATACTATACGAAAATAGACCACAAAGTCGGCATTTTAATTAAAAAAAACGGTCGGAGTTTTTTTTTTCTCATTATGCACTGCGTGCTCCAGGATTTTTTTTATGTGGTGCACACTGACGACACAGACCCATTCTCTCACATGTGGGCCTACTAGCTTTCTCCTGCCTGATTTGAAGCCGCTAGAATTTATGAGTATATATACGTCAAACACGGTACCTCGCAAACGTATATATACGGCCGCGACAGTCAAAGGGTTAATCAAAGTTGTATTATCAGGTAGAAAATTCACATGATTTAGTTACAGTTAACTGACCTGATTGTCAAGAGAAATCATGCTTTGGCAATTGAATGTGTATCAGGTTCATCTACTCATATTTTAAGAGGAGTAGACAATAGCAGTTGCTCATATAGTGACCTACTATCTCCATTTTATTCCAGTTTAAGTCAAACTCAGTACTTTATTAATTTTTAAAATCTCCCAGTATAACAGCACAGGTGCTTGTCTAGCAGTAATGAATGAGGAATTGTCAGGGAAGTGCATGGATAATTGAAAGTATGGTTAAGAACATTAGAATTATGGGTAATTTTTATTAGCTAATTCCATTAGCGGATCATATTTAGTGTTTCGATACTATACAAGAGAATATTTGATACTAAAATAAATTAGAAAAATATATTAAAAATAATTCTTCATTACTGATGGAGTGTGAGCAAGGTAACATATATATGAACTGTTTAGGAAAACAGGTTAGCTGAACTAGGTCCTAGAGTTGGGAAGTATAGCGTCTGCACTCTTAAGGAGGGGGTGGGGATATTTGCAGTTTGGAGGGGCATCTGAACTGTAGTATTGTTGCACCTCCCACCCTGCCTCGGTGGGAGATGGACAGTGTGTTTAAAAAAAAATTGCTGTACCAGTTCACAAAACTTTATCAAAATCCAAATTTCTTTACCAGTTTCTACTAAAATTTTGTGAATCCACCACACAAAACGAAACTGTAACAAAGTTTAGTATATTTCATAAAAATAACTAAGAAAATAGATTACTTGGAATTAATCTACATTTCTTGACCCAGTTCTACCAAAATTATATGAACTCAACTTCTGTATCATGAACTTATACCAAAATTCAGTGAAGTTGATAAACGTAAGCTTATATATATGTAAAAAAAATGAGAAAATTGCTTCGCCTATCTTACCTCCAGTTGGTTGGTGTCAGTGGTCTTTGGAGGTGATAGCACATAGTGTTCATGCACTGATGTGAACTTCCTCTTCCCACATAACACACCATAGATTTATTAGCGTTGCTTCAAGATACATCTTTAATACAAATGCATGAAATTGTCTAGCAAACAGTGAAATACTACTGTATTAACATAAAAGCTTTGAGTTTAAATGTGCACATGGCACACTCAAAACATGACATTGAAATGTAAAAATAAGGAATTACTTTGGGGCTGATAACTTGTGGATTTGAATTTTAGGTGTCGCATCAAATAAAAGCAATGAAATTTGAAATCGGAAAGCTTACATATATATATCAAGCTTGTTAAAAGTACTGTAAAATCTAGTGCTAGTATAAGGTAACCAAATTAAACAAAAATGAAAAAAAAAATTCAAACCAAAAAGTAGCAAAATCTACGAGGTATTGTCAATAAAATATTGATATTAAGCATGATGCTCAGTGTCAGGGCCAGTCAGTGGCTACCAGGACTGTTTACCATCAAGCCTTTAAACTCCATTCTTTGCACACCAGTAATGTTGTGGCAGCTCATACAGTGGCATTACTGTGTAACTTTTATTAATTGTGTGAACAGTCACAATTTATTTTGGCTGTATTACATTCTGTTTTGATGAAAATAATTTAGAATTTCTGTATATGCAGGTGCTAATTGTACAGCATATGAAATGGGGTTGTTTTCTCTGAACCTGTAAAGCTTGTATATGTACCTCCCACCACTGGTTACACCATCAATCCCTGTGCAAAAATATTTTCCCAGACAGCCATGACGTACATTTTTTAACTAATATTCTGTGGAATGAATATTACATACGGTATTATATACAGTAATATAGTATTTGTTATGGAAAGCAAAATGTTAAAAACACAGGGTAAAAACAAAGGATAATGTATGTCAATGGGTGGGTGACATATATTGGAAAGTGCAGGAGTATGTAAATAACTGGACAGATCCTACATACATATATGTTAAATACATATGGAATTGGGAAGTATTCTCATTACCTGCCACTACTAATCCATTACTCATTGTACAAAATGTTTACCTAGGAAGCTTTGACCATCTTTCTGATCAATATTTTGTGAATATTGTATTACTCTACATGCATTACAGTAGTCTACAATATAAAGTCAAACATTGAACTTTTAAAAAGTCTTGTGGTTATTAAAAACTTGGAGGCCATAAAAAAGCCTTGGCCCTCCACTTGTGATTAACTGCTTGATGTTTGTCTTGATATAAGACTTTGGGCATTTAATTCAATGTTTTCTCACTGTGGTCATATTTTTTTCAATCCAGTGCAGAGAACGGGAAAAAAATATGGAGGGGAGGGAAGTCAGGCCTGATCCAGTCTAGCTCACCTAACATCATTTCTCTACATATTCTGCATTTTACTGTTCTCTGTGTTGGATTGAAAAAGCTCCAAGCAGGCAAACTTTTCTTAATTAAATGTCCTATGTGTTGCATTTGTGTCTTTGCCATATTATGTTGAGATTGCCTTGTGTGTGCTTATACCTGCTTGATATCGGCATTAATACCTGCCATACAACTTTTCCAATAATCATTTGTTATAATTTATATTTACAGGCTATGAACTGTTATCTTATCTCAGCCTTTTTCAAAGCCTGGTCCTAGCTGCTGCCTATGGTATACCACCCCCAAAATGTCACCCATAATGATTTCCTAGCACTCAGTCATTTAGTTGCTGCTAGGTGAAAACAGCAAAGGGAATAAGGAGACTTGCTATACATATATTGTGCCTTGCCTAAGGATTGAACCTAGGACCTTGTGGCCACTGAGTACTGTTATATTTTGAACCACTAGTTGTCAGCTAATCAGTAATAAACCAGTAAAAATTATTGCGTATTATAAGATATTTTAAATAGCTAATCTGGATCTTCAGCGGATGTTTTATTGAAAGATCCATTAGCAAGGTTCAGCAGTACATCTTTGAATTTCACTATATTAATTTGCTTTTTCAGGTAACAACTTTGCGACTGAGCAAGGCAGGCGGCAGTATGACTGCAGTTACAGTTCCTGCAGTAAGTTTACCCTCCACTATTCCTGTGGCAACCAGCGTTCAGCCTCTCACTGCTGCTCGGCTTTCTCAGCCAATGCCCATAACTTCTGATGGATCTGTAGTAGCACTACCTCCAGGCCCACCTCGACCGCCTCCCCCTCCACAAGCTCCACAGCAAGCACCTCCTCAATCAATGGCTCCATCACAAGCAGTGGGAGTGGCACCTCCAGGCCCTGCTGTTGTAGGCTCAGTAGGTGGGGTTCAGGTGTCTCTGGCTCAAGTGTCCACAGTATCTCTCAATCCACAGATTGCTCCAGCCACTTCCATGACCCCCTCCATGGCTCCACCATCTGCTCAGAGCATGGCACAGGCAATATCAATGAGTGGAGCTACAGGTCACTTAGTTTCATACCCCATTATGACTCAGCCAGGGCTTAGACCTCAGCTCCAATGAAGCCAGGCCAGCCGTGGCCCGGTCACGGTGTCGTCAACAGTTGTCTCATCGAGCATTGTCCCTGTGTCTGATGTTGCTACTCACATCCTTCCTTCCACATATGTAACCATTTGGGGTCATCCCAGTCAACAGGGATCATTATAAATTCATAAATCATTTTTAAAGGCGAACATTTCAAATTAAATATTTACCCTATGCACTTGTTTTCACATTTTTGTGCTAACATTCAATAAAAATTGAATAATCCAAAAAATTTATATGGAATCTAATCATAATAATGTAGATGTTAAGTACATACATTGGTTGTTTTTCAATCCCATTTGTTTATTTGGAAGCAAATTTTCTTGAGAACTAAAATTAATGTTTACATACTTTTTTATTAGAATGTTCGTCTGTACAATATTTTGTTTCATTTTCATATTGAGAGTTGAGTAAAAGTGAATGTTGTATTCACTTTTTCTGAAATTTAAGTAATGATATTACATTGTAAATAGAGAGGCAGGTTAATCAGTTGTACTTTTCATGGTAATTTGATTGAAAGCAGTGTGCAGTAATACCTCTCATTAATGGATTTATGCATTTTCAGAGAAAAAACTGGCTGGACAAACTTTCTAATTATTGAACAAAAGTCTATAATTCTGCATTTTGTCAGTAGCAATAATGTCCAGTTGTCTTCCGAAGTATCGGACTAAGTCTTTTAACTTTGACGTGTGTTCAGTATTGGTCATAACAGTCACATCAAGGGCACAACATTTGTTTGGCACTTGCCACAGTGGCCATGTCCAAGAGCTGTCCATTTTCTTTGTTCACTGACCTGTGGGGCACCAGTGCCAGTTTGTTTGTGTTCACCAATGCCTACACTCATCATTCAGGCTCTAATTTTCCCTGGATTTAGAGCATTTTATGTGACTTTTTTAACATACGTATTTAAGTAAAGTGCAAGTAACAATGGCTTCTAAAGCAAGTGGTGGTGCCAAGAGAAAATGTGTGGCTCTCAGTGTTAAGGAGAAACTTTAATTATTAAAGAAGGTTGAGTCTGGTATCTCAGTGGCATGGGTGTGCGAGGAATATGATGTTAAGAAACAGCGTCTGATATCTGCAGAAGCAAGAAAAATTTACACTTGTGCTTTTAACCTGTTCATCTTTCATCAATTTCCGAACTATTTTCATCTTAGCCATCTACGTCTTCTTAGCCATCTACATCATCTCGGCCATCTACATTATTTTCACTGGTAGAGCTTTACATTTCCTTTAACCCATTAGAAGTTATTTTGAGTTTCCACTATCGATCATGGCAGTTTACACCTCATCTCTCCACCAGGAAAGGTAAACAAAATTACTGCAAATTATGGAGCGTACTATAAAATTAATATACAGTACATTACTATGCTGTAGTACTACAGGTTACAATACCTATATTCTTAGTGTCCAATTGTCTTCTGCATTAGCAGACCAAGTCCACTACTTCAGAAGACAACCAGACAATCATGAAATATTTATTCCATAATTTGAGAGTTATGGACATTTGGCATTATTGTACACTCCTTCCCCCAATTAGTCTGTTCATGAGAGGTCGTAGTGTACTTTAAATTTTAGAAATACAGTATAATAGTTTTTCTGAGGTGCTTCTGTAGTAATTGTATTGCATTTTTTCACTTGGAATTATTCATTTACCATATACAGATGATGAAGAATTAGAAACATGTGCAACATCTGGGTATCTTTATTTGTAGAAGGTTTGCCAACCAGTGGCTTTATCAGTACGGTACAAGGACATAATGTGAAGAATTATATGTATACAAAAGATGAGGTAATCAGTGCCTCATCTTTTATATATAATTCTTCACATTAAGTCCTTGTATTGTATTGATAAAGCCACTGGTTGGTGAAGCATCTACAAATAAAGATACCCAGATGTTGCACGTGTCTAATTCTTCATCTTGTCGGTATTGCATACCATTGATGTATAACCATCATATACAATAAACCCTAGATTTAATGGATCTCAATTTGATGGACTTTGGAAGTACATATGGTACAAAACCTGCTTGGTCATTTGATTTGGAAACGGTGGATAAAGTCCATTGTTTACAGAATTGTCCATTTTTACGAGCCTGGCCCATGGCCGTGCTCCGAGAGTAGTAAGACTCTCGAAACTCATCAAAGGTTATTACAATAATAAAAAAAAAAGCAATCTCATTTCTATCCACCACAGTCATCATTACCAGCCACTCTCTCCTCCCCATTAATTCATTTCATTGAGGGTTTGCTATATATACTGTATATGTAAGTATGAATATGAAAAGTGAGAAACTATGTGGAGAGAGACTTTATAACCAGGTTAGAGAGCTCTGTATGATTCGGTTTGATTAAATTTGAGACACACTTCACATCTTTACCCTTAAGGGAGGTTGACCTGGATATGATTTCTGAGGTCATTTTCTATCTCCCTTTTCCCTTCTCTCCCAGCCCAGTCCCAGACCAGGCCTCCTGATGGATGGCCTAATCAGTCAGGCTTTTAGTGCTATCCACATGCAGTCCAACTTATTCACTGGTGAAGGATTCCTGATCTAAGGAATTGAACCTGACTTCCCTTCACTTGGATGAGATCTGTATGGCTTTGATTGCCCAAGGTGCTGTATTACCCCTGAGGATTTTGCACTTTCTTTAAAGATAAAATATTAATTCATACCCCTTTCATCTGCTGAAGAGTCTGTTTCAACTTTCTGTCCAAGTGGGTTTTCATTTTTCATCAGTCAATGTGAACAAGATAGCTTTTATGAAGGGATTCAGCAAAAACCAGTTAAATGAACTTGAGTTCTGGAAGTGGGAAGGGCAGTGCCTGCACTGCCCTTTCCACTCTCAGTTGCATCTGGGGGGATAAACTGAGTGTGATATCAGTACACTTGTGATAAGACAAAGATTGAATGAAAGTGGTGAATGCATTTCCTTCTTTGGGTCACTCTACCTTGATGGGAGATGGCTGTTGAGGTAGAGTTTCTCAGACAATTTCACACTACCATAGCAGTGGAGAGCTCTAGCTTGGGCTTCTTTGAAGCCATCATGAATGACTTAATACAGTTATTTACAACTGTGTCATTACGACACATTCTGGTGTGAAATTCATCTGTAGAAACATGCATTTGTGATTACAGTGGGGCCCAATCTAACCTTCTTACCATGTGTAGAAATACACCTAGTCAAATGAATCTTATTAGGCCATCATGGTACAGTGGATAGTGTACTGGTCTTCTAGTTTTAGGACTGGCTTACCATGAGTTTAAACTTTCCATTCAGTGATTTGTTTACAATCTTGTCATTGCAGTTTCACAAGTCTGAGAAACATTTGTTGAGTTTGCCTCTGCTATTATTATCGTGGGGAAGATACATCAAAATGCCAGCTTTAGGAAAATGTGTTGTTTATGTAATTCCTACAAGGCTAGCAGCTTGCCCCCTCTTGACGGCTTGGCTAGATAAACATCATAAAATAGTAGCAGGTTGTGCTATGCCTTCATTTTGGTTAAGCATCTACAATAGAGGAACCTCCATTCAATTTTATCAAGTTGTTTTGGGGATATGTTGGAGGGTTTTGATAGTAGTAGCTTTGTATATACAGTATTAGATCATCTAATAATATGCCTTCATCCAGGAAACCCATCATGTTGACAGATAAACCCTTTACTGTTTAGGCTATGTGATCATCCAGAAGGTTGTCGTGTGTTTCTCTCAGCATTGCTAGTTGTGCAATTATAATGGCCATATGCTGGCCCCTGACTGGCATCCATTCCATTAGCTAAGATATATGGAAGATGGATGACATGGTGGTTGAAATAGGAGCTCAGGGCCAGGGGACTATCTTCTTTTTGTCAGTCAGCCTCAGTGAGACATGGTAGAGCAGGTTGAGGGTTAGAACTGGCTAAAACAGCACTTGCTTGCCTAGATATTAACTTTTTTCTACACTTTGGCTAACTTAATTTTTATGGGTTCATTGTGCATAGTGTTGGGGATAAGGGTATGAGGCAGTGGTGTTTCATGGGTGGTATGCAGAATGTGCATTCCCACATGCATACATACGTACATACATTACATACATGTGTGGTTCTCTTAATAAATGTTAAATTTAAAGAAAATTAATATGTTTAATACAGTAAGCCCTCCAAGTTAATGGGAACTGCATCCATATAATAAGTCACATGCAGAAATTGCTAATGTGGATACTATACCTTGAATCAATGTTGAAAGGTGAGTTAGGTTTATAGTTTGGATAGAACATTTTGGGAATAGAAAATGTCCAGTAATTTCAAACTTGTATCAATATTTTCACTTCTTTTCAGTAGATTCTCCTTTCCTACTTATTTTGTGCTTAAAAGACATGATGCAAGATAGTAGAGCAGTATGTAAATAACAGCACAGTATTACAGTAGCAGGTATGGTTATGGAGCACCATTTGTGAGTTGAACTACTAGAGTAATGCAGGTTGAGTAAAACAAACGACTGTGGCTACCAGACATGAACACAAAATTGACAATAGGGCAAACTACATGTTTCTTGTATTGCTAAACTGTTAATATTTCATAAAATATTAAGTGAAATACATTCATGTAACACATTATTGCCATTTGTACATAATATAAAATAAAATTTGGTTTACACAATAACCATACTGCTAATCAGAAGGCTGTGAAAACAAGGGATTGCTTTATAATAATTAAAAGTGCTAGATATTTCTTTTGGATTCTGTTAATAATGAAAGATTTTGCACCTATATCCTTCCATATTTAAGCCTTGCATTACTTGTGATTAAATGAATACAGTTTGTTAATGCAAAAGGAAATTTGCTTCAGAATTGATGCTTATCTTAATATCAGATACATCATTTGAATTAGTATAAGTAGTAATGAGAAAGTAGCAGCAGTAATGATAAAACCAGTTGTACTATTACTACTCTCTCTACAGTTACTTTTACCACTTGGTCTACCATTGCCACTACTGTTACTTCCTCATTACAACTATTACTGCTACTGTTACTACTATACTACTACTACTATATTATTACTGCTACTACTATTACTTCTACTACTATTACTAATACCACTATTTCTACCACTATTTCTACTACTACTATTTCTACTATCTACTACTTTTACTACTGTGCTTCTGCCATCCCGTATGAAATTTATTTCTGTTCCAGTAATTTAGGTATAGTATTATTATAATTCCTCTTGACTGTCTTAGCTGCACTTTACTCCCTGATTTTGTTGTGGGTTTATGGTTATTACTCTGGGATATAATGATAATTAAAACATTGAATATATGGATGTAAGACATGTGTAAGAAAGAGACCAGTTGGCTTATTCCAGAATAAACAGTCTAATGGTTATGTGGCCTGACAGCTTTATTAGTAAACTACTTCCAAACCAGTCCATTAGAATAGCAATAGAACTAAAAAGCATTTTGAGAGAGAGGGAACAAACTGTGTGTGAACACTTGTAATAGATTTCATACATGTTTATCCCAACATTATTCTTGCATGATTTTCTCAGAATTGGTTATGTTAGTGTCTTCATAACCTACACTGTATTACTTTTCTGTCTACTGTACAGTACTATATAGTTTTGTAAGGGCTGATAACTGCTGCTATTTCTCATTAAGGTAATTGAAGTCTCATTAATCAGAAAAATTGCGAGAATGTTACTTGCTGTAGTATATAGTGTGTACATTCAAAACTCTGTCAAGGTTCTTTGGTATAAAATGCAGACATGCAAAGCTTTGTCAAGGTGCTGTAGTGTTTAGTGCAGACACAAAGCTTTGTCAAGGTTTTTGAGTTGCCTACACTTTATTCTCAGGGTTATTACCCAGTTGATAAGAAATGTAATTAAGATTTTTTTATACTATGATACTAACATTGCACAGTATTTCTAAGGATGGTAATATTTATGTAGCAAGCTCTCATGTATTGTACATGCTGGGTTCAGTATACAAGTTAGCATTAAAACCTTTTTCAGTATGTTCAAAAGAGCATTCATCATTCTTTATCATCTTAAGTGTGTTTACTATAGCCCTAAGATTTGAAGGTGTGGGTATGATCATTATCTGTGATTTTTTTTATGTAGTCTCTGTAACATTCACAGTGAAAGAGAAACTGAGCACGTGAGACAAATGATAGATACAATAGATTGCTTAAGATCAATGTGTGTACTACACAATGGTCTTACATGGAAGTGCAAAAAATATTTACTTTGGTAGATACATGCATAAAAGTAGCTAGAATACCTTGCCCATATTAATTTTATTATTATGCAATCTTGCAATTAAGTTACAGTAATAAACAAGAAAGTATTTACCACATCAGTTGTCTCTCGTCAAGGTAGAGAAAGTATTGTTTGGGAAAATCCCAGTTTTTAGTGTTACAGTACTGATAAATTTTGTAAATATTAAAATATATTTTAAGTACAGTACTTAGAGCATTGCTATGATGTGTTATTTCCTCCCTTTAGTAAATCCTCCACCAGACACTGTTAGCATCCATAACAAAATGTGTATGTTTGAGTTACGGTACACATTGGTGAGCATGTTACTATGTCATTATCAGACAAATGCTGAAGATAAGTAAAGGGCTCCTGATCCAGTTGGAGATAGGTATCTTTACCTCCCATTTTCTAGGCATTATATGAATCTTGTGATTATAGTACTTCACTAGTGATATAATATGTACAGTAATAATAATACTTTATATGACTGATGTCATTTGTTTTGTAGATAGTTTACACTGTTTCATGATTTTTGTGTTTTGACACCCACTGTCTCCCGCTGAGGTAGGGTGACTAAAAAAGAAACACATTCATCATCATTCATTCAGTTTCTGCCTTACTAGAAGTGCCCAGACATCACAATTCGAATGATTCTGAACAGCATCATCTCTATCCTCACCTCCTGGACTCAGGTCTGGCTAACCAATTTCATTGAATCCCTTCATAAATACTACCTTGCTCACACCAAAAGTGCATCATCATAAAAAACTATGTGTCTCCACTCTACCGTAACACGAGCTTGCGAGATGCTAAGCCCCCTCTTTACCCTTCCCCTCCAACCCTTTCTGAGATGACCTCTACCCTCTCCTTCCACCCATGATTTATACATCCTCTTGAGCTTCAACCCAAGCCACCTCAACAACCCTCCTCAGCTCTGAATTATACCTTTGGTAATCCCACGCTATCTACAGTAATTTGTACTTCGGGTTGGAGTTTTTTAATATTATCCACATTACACATTGCTGTCAAACATTTTGGTGGTATGTCTTTAGAAACAATTGTAATTACTGTAATGGTCTTTAAATACATTACTTGAAATGGTTGAAGCTGAAACAAGAATATAAGGAAAGTATGGACTGTGACATCATTGCTTTCATAGAAGTAATGGTAATTATTGCATTTGTATAGTTTCTGTGCAAAATATATAGCAGAAAACCATGGCTTTCTAGAGAACATTTATTCATATTTTATGTAATTTTTTACGGCTTATGGGAAAAATCTTTGATAGCTTCACCTTCTTATACGATTAAAAGCTGAGTATCACAGAGCACCTGTCAGTGAAATACAGAATTTCTGTGCAGAACAGTGTTCCTCAATAGATTTTTTGTTAAAGATCCAGTTAGTCTTATCCTATTTTATGAATGTATTACAGTGGTTAACTGATTGCCATTGACAATACATTTTTGTAAATTTCTGTACCAATATGTTGAGACCAATGCTCAAAATTTACATATTCATACTGTATAATTTTTTACAATATTTAAGTTATAGATGCCATTTTTCTTATTTGTGGTCCTCTTCATATTTTTGTCTGTGGCCTTTATGTGCTCACACCCTTCAAGGGAGGTGGTGCCTTGATATTGGTGAAAGGCTCTTCATCCAAGGGATTGGAGCTACCTTTTCCTTCCTCGGATCAAATTTAATTATACATCTTCCATCCCCCAGACACAGTCTCCACCCCCCCCCCCCACAGGTTTAGTGGCTAATGAATATTATTTTTATGTACTCACGCATGTGTAGGACTGGATATTTATTGTCTTTTCTACTGTACTGTACTGGGTATTTGTAACAAAAATTATTAGACACTGGTATTACCTGTATTTTGTCTAGTACTTTGTACACATACAGCCTACTGTGTAAGAAAATATCTTGTAACAGTAGCAACCCTGGCATTTTTAATGCCCTGGATGAGGTCATACAAAATTCTCCCCTCCATCCTCTGTCAACAGCAAACCCGTCCTCCTCCCCCATATCCCCCAGTGCATAATCTCTGCCACAGTAAAATACACTGAGCACACACTGTTTTTAAAACACCAAACACCTCCATGTATTGTTCTGAGCTTCAATTAAGAACAGGTTGAGTTGAAACAAAAACTACAAATATATCTTTTATAAATAATAATGGAACATTTAATAAAGACTCCAAAATATATTGCTAACAAGTATAAATATTTCAGGAATACGTATGTTAATTTCATGATGGCTCAATGATTTTCGAATAATCACAGCAAGAAAATATAAGCTTGGGTTGTGTGGCAGAACTTTCGTTTGTCAAATAAACCAAGTCTGCAAGCTCAGGCAAATTACTAAGGATTTTTTTATATATAAATCTGTAAATATTGTACATTTCATCATAATACACAAAATTTTCCTATCTTTGTATCTCTATCCATGACTCAGATCAAATTATATTATTTAATAAAATAGAATATTGCTGATTTATTTGAAGCTCAAAAACTTTTTTTCAAGGTTAATGATGAGAAGGAATGCTTTTATTACAGTTGTTTTAGGCACTGCTGTTGTTTTCTTAAAAAAAATTTATAGACCTATCATTGCTTTGACTTAAAATGAGGAATATTTTTTCTTGCACCCTCTACAAGAAGACTGCCTTGATGCTGGAAAAGGGCTCTTGATCTGAGGAATTTGAGCTACCCTTTCCTTCCTTGGATCAGACTTAATTTCCTCTCATTCCTCAGCAACTGAATAAGCTTTCTGGGTTTGTCATGGCACCATGAATACTTGCACCCTTGGCACTTGGGTGCTGTAAATATTATATGATTTTCCTCATCTTCACCTAAGTCCAGGGGCAAAGACATGGTGGGAATATATGTTAAGTTACCATTGGCTCTGAGATTCTAAAGAATTAAGTGGGTAGATATGCTACTGTGTAATTTATATATGTTCCTAAAAGCTTAAAGTTGGTCAAACAATTCCTCTCAAGGGGGGATATCTCTTTCCTAAGCAAAGGGACTCTTGATCTGAGGAACTGGACCTCTTCTTCCCTTCCTTGGATTAAATCTAAAATAATTCTCAACCCTCTCTCCTTTTGGCCTCTTTTTGCAAAATTCAGCTTCTAAATATAAAAGGAAAGAGATCACTGTCAACCCTGTTCTGATAACTTCCATTGAAAATGCAGATAATGCCCTGAACATTTTCTCATATTGTAGTACTAAACATCTAATTCTTCCACAAATGGTATTAACAATACTACACTTAATTCCTGTACAGCTTTCCAACTTATTGTTTGTGGCCTTCACTCCTACAGCAACACTTTGAATCAACTCACACATTTTTTCTTCTAACTTGATGGGTACTGATTACTCCTCACCCTTCCCAGTCCTCAGGCAGTGTTTACAAATTTTCCTGATTAATATAATCATCCCTGTGCCTTCTTCCATAAACACCTCTGGCATTGAAAGTTGAATGACATTCAGAAGTGTATAACGATGCACCATTTGATTTTGTGATTTTTTTAATACACCAACCGTCTCCCACTGAATTAAGATGACCAGAAAACAAAGATATGTTATCATCATTGCTCACTCCATCACTGTCTTACCAGAGGCATGTTAACAGTGCAAACTGTACTTCCCACCTTCAAGTCCTTAAATGATTTTTCATTCAAGGAAGTGGAGCTACCTCCCCTTCCTTGGAGGGGGCTGTATGACTCCCATGAATATAATGTGTGAACAACACATGGCTAAGGCTCTTTTTTTTTTTTTAACACATCGACCTAACTAGCTTGTGCTACTAGGTCAGATGCTGCGCTCCTCCCTTTAGCGATGTGCCTGACCTCACTAGGTCAGTGAGGTCAGACAGTCAGTGAGCTTAAGGTCACTAGGTCAGTGAGCTTAAGCCAGTGGGAGAATTGGACCCTGCCTTGCATAAGCCAGTAGGCCTGTTGCAGTGTTCCTTCTTATGTTCTTATGTTTCCCACCAAGGTAGGGTGGCCCAAAAAAGAAAAACTTTCACTGTCATTCACTCCATCACTGTATTGCCAGAGGCACACCTACACAACAGTTATAAAACTGCAACATTAACACCCCTCCTTCAGAGTGAAGGCACTGTACTTCTAATCTCCAGGACTTAAGTCCAGCCTGCCGGTTTCCCTGAATCCCTTCATAAATATTACCCTGCTCGCACTCCAACAGCATGTCAAGTCCTAAAAACCATTTGTCTCCATTCACTCCTATCTAACATGCTCACAAATGTTTTCTGGATGTCCAAGCCCCTCGCACACAAAACCTTTACCCCCTCCCTCCAACTTTTCCTAGGCTAACCCCTACCTTGCCTTCCCTCCACTACAGATTTATACACTTGAAGTCATTCTATTTTGTTCTCTACTCTCTACATGTCCAAACCACCTCAACAACCACTCCTAATTTCCAAAGTACGAACTCTGTGCATTATATTCACACCACACATTGCCCTCAAACACGACATCTTCACTGCCTCCAGCCTTCTCCTTGTTGCAGCATTTGCCACCCATGCTTTGCACCCATTTAAGAGCATTGGTATAACTATATCCTCATACATTCCCCTCTTTGCTTCCATGGACAAAGTTCTTTGTCTCCACAGACTCCTCAATACACCACTCACCTTTTTCCCCTTGTCAATTCTATGATTTACCTCATCTTTCACAGACCCATCTGCTGACACATCCACTCCTAAATATCTGAATACATTCACTTCCTCCATACTCTCTCCAATCTGATATCCAATCTTTTGTTACCTATTTTTTTTTGTTATCCTCATCACCTTTCTCTTTCCTATATTCACTTCTAATTTTCTTCTTTTACATACCCTACCAAACTCATCTACCAACCTCTGCAACTTCTCTTCAGAATCTCCCAAAAGCATAGTGTCATCAGCAAAGAGCAACTGTGACAACTCCCACTTTGTGTTAGATTCTTTATCTTTTAACCTCACACCTCTTGCCAACACCCAAGCATTCACTTTTCTTACAACCCCATTTATAAATATAGTGAACAACAATGGTGACATCACATCCTTGTCTAAGGCCTACTTTTACTCTAACCTGAGCCTCACTATCCTCGTAAAAACTCTTCACTGTTTTCAGTAACCTACCTCCTATTCCATATATTAGCAACATCTGCCACATTGCCCCCCTATCCACCCTGTCATACACCTTTTCCAAATCCATGTTACAAAAACCTCTTTACCTTTATCTAAATACTGTGCACCTATATGTTTCACTACAAACACTTGATCTACACACCCCCTACCCTTCCTAAAGCCCTTGTTCATCTGCTATCCTACTCTCCATCTTACTCATAATTCTTTCAATAATAACTCTACCATACACTTTACCAGATATACTCAACAGACTTATTCCCCTATAATTTTTGCACACTCTTTTGTCCTCTTTGATAAGGCAGTGTTTAGTTAAATTATTGTTGGTCATGGCTACCGTGCCTGGGAAAATCCTCTCCAGAGCATCATTACTCTTATGCCCAGAGGAGCAGTGCTGTATGACCCTTGTGGGTTTAGTGTTTGATTATAATAATTATACCCTCCTCAAGGGAGGTTCCTTGATGCTGGTGGGCTCTTGATCTAGGGAATTGGATCTGTGCTCCAGTTCCTTGAACTGAACCTGAATGCCTTCCACCCCTGCCCCCCCAACAGGCACTGTATAATCCCTATAGGTTTAGCTCTCCCCCCATAATAATAATTAATAATAATGATACCCTGAGGAAAGGGAGAGAAACTCCGGTTCCTTGGAAGAGAGCCCACCATCAAGTATTGCCTTTGATGACCTTATTACCCTCACTAAAAAAGAATTATCTGGGAGAGAAGCATCAAACACGTAGGTTTAATGCTTCCCAAGAAAGAGAACACATACAGTTGGTTGAGCAAGGCCCTACGGCGTTAGCGCTCGCCCATAATTGAGCCAAGATCCCCTCACCAACATCAATCTACCTGGAGGAGGGGAGGGCAGATATGATTACAACATACAAGATTCTCTGACCCTTCTGGGGAGGTGCTCTAGATCAAAGGAATAACAAAAATAGTAATAATATCTTTATTTACTAGAAGTACATGTACATGGTATACAGTCCTAGTTGACATCAATGACATACTACTATATAGAAAGCCCCTTATGCTAAGCATTTCGGGCATTTCGTGGAGCCCCAGACCGACATAATGAGATTAGTCACGAGGGAGCATTCACCAAATTCAACTTCAATAACAAAAACATAAAGTGGGACCAAGTAAACCAAGTCCTAACCGATATAAGCTGGGAAGATATACTAAGAAAACACAGACCCAATTTATGCCTAGAACAGATTTAATTTGGTGGCACTCGATTACAAAAGGGCTTATTCCTCAAAGAAAAAGGAGGATGATGTAAAATAGAAAGAGACAGGCGTCCTTTGCAGGCACGGAAAAAGAATAACAGAGGGCAAAAAGAGGTAAATATATCTAAAATGCATGGGGGGACCTGGTCAGAGAAATAGCAAGCATCGAATTTAAAGCAAAAGGGAATCTTATGGGAGTCAGGAATGGGGGGGAAAACAAAAAGCCATAAATGAAATTTAAAAAGAAACCAAAAGTTTTTTTTCTATGCAATCAAAGTCGAGAACACGTCCAGTATTGGCCCCTATTTAAAAAGAGGGGTCCTACAAGCCCTACACAGAACAGAAAGGGAAAATGGTGAGCACTCAAGCCCCAATATGACTCGTTTTTGCAACCCGCTAACCAATGAGAGTCAAGATAAAAAGAATTTTTTATGAGGAGCACAAAATTGGTTAAACACTAGCCTATCCATGTTATCCCGGCAAATGACTTCGAAAAGGCGATAAAAGACATGCCCCTGCACTCTGCCCCGGGCCAGATCTGGAACTCTGTGTTCATCAAAACTGCAAGAAGCCCTTCACGGCCTTTTCCCTCTATGGAGAGGGAGCTGGACACGGGGGTCGTCCCACTTTTCTAAAAACAACAACTAGCCCCCCCAAAAGGGGGCATAAAGCAACAGCAAAGAACTACAGACCGATAGCCTAACATCCCATATCATAAAAATCTTTGAAAAGGTCCCAAGAAGCAAAATCACCACCCATCTAGAAACCCATCAATTACACAACCCAGGGCAACATGGGTTTAGAACAGGTCGCTCCTGTCTGTCTCAACTATTGGATCACTACGACAAGGTCCTAAATGCACTAGAAGACAAAAAGAATGCAGATGTAATATATACAGACTTCGCAAAAGCCTTCGACAAGTGTGACCATGGCGTAATAGCGCACAAAATGCGTGCTAAAGGAATAACAGGAAAAGTCGGTCGATGGATCTATAATTTCCTCACTAACAGAACACAGAGAGTAGTCGTCAACAGAGTAAAGTCCGAGGCAGCTACGGTGAAAAGCTCTGTTCACAAGGCACAGTACTCGCTCCCATCTTGTTCCTCATCCTCATATCCGACATAGACAAGGATGTCAGCCACAGCACCGTGTCTTCCTTTGCAGATGACACCCGAATCTGCATGACAGTGTCTTCCATTGCAGACACTGCAAGGCTCCAGGCGGACATCAACCAAATCTTTCAGTGGGCTGCAGAAAAACAATATGAAGTTCAACGATGAGAAATTTCAATTACTCAGATATGGTAAACATGAGGAAATTAAATCTTCATCAGAGTACAAAACAAATTCTGGCCACAAAATAGACGCGAAACACCAACGTCAAAGACCTGGGAGTGATCATGTCGGAGGATCTCACCTTCAAGGACCATAAACATTGTATCAATCGCATCTGCTAGAAAAATGACAGGATGGATAATGAGAACTTCAAAACTAGGGAGGTCAAGCCCATGATGACACTCTTCAGGTCACTTGTTCTATCTAGGCTGGAATATTGCTGCACACTAACAGCACCTTTGAAGGCAGGTGAAATTGCCGACCTAGAAAATGTACAGAGAACTTTCACGGCGCGCATAACGGAGATAAAACACCTCAATTATTGGGAGCGCTTGAGGTTCCTAAACCTGTATTCCTGGAACGCAGGAGGGAGAGATACATGATTATATACACCTGGAAAATCCTAGAGGGACTAGTACCGAACTTGCACACGAAAATCACTCACTACGAAAGCAAAAGATTGGCAGACGATGCACCATCCCCCAATGAAAAGCAGGGGTGTCACTAGCACGTTAAGAGACCATACAATAAGTGTCAGGGGCCCGAGACTGTTCAACTGCCTCCCAGCACACATAAGGGGGATTACCAACAGACCCCTGGCAGTCTTCAAGCTGGCACTGGACAAGCACCTAAAGTCAGTTCCGGATCAGCCGGGCTGTGGCTCGTACGTTGGTTTGCGTGCAGCCAGCAGCAACAGCCTGGTTGATCAGGCTCTGATCCACCAGGAGGCCTGGTCACAGACCGGGCCGCGGGGGCGTTGACCCCCGGAACTCTCTCCAGGTAAACTCCAGGTAAGGTTCAAAGTAATTGTTGAAATTATGATGTGGGAATAACATAAGTATGTGTGTACTGAGTATTCAGCATTTAGTCTAGGGTGATTAAGTGGCTTTTGAGAAGTCTTATTGATTTTCAGACTGGGTTACTTTAATATCTTCTGGTAATGAATTCCAAATTTTGGGGCCCTTTATGTGCATAGAGTTTTTACACTGTGATATGGACACGAGGTATATCAAAAAGAGATCTGTGTCTTGTGTTATGGTCATGTGTCCTCCACTAGTTAATGAGTAGATCTTCGTCCAAAAGTTGGACAAGTACTGAAGAATTCCTTGTATCAAGACTCATAATGCTGCAGTGTCTGACAAAGAAAGGAGAGTTAAGGATGAAAGAAGGGCGCGTTAAAAGGAATGCAGGGAGACTTAACAAGGACAACGTGAAGTAAGAAGAATTAGTTTAGATTTTGCCACCGAAGTGGCTAGTTTATTGTGCACCTGTGGACGGTGGCGCAAGAAGGGTGAATTAATAAGGAGAAAAATTCTTTATTTCAGCATGATACAATGTTTGTACAGAGAGAGAGTTAATAACTAAAGAAGAGGGGAGAAATAATAACTAAAGAATTAGGGAGAGTTAATAATAAAGAAGGGTGAGTTAATAACTACAAAGTGAGGGGAGAGGTAACAAGGCAGATGAGGTAATAAATAAAGAAGCGGTGTTAAAAAGGAAGAGTTAACAGGAAAGGAAGAAGAGGTAATAACTAAGGGAGAGTTAAAAACTAAGGGAAAGGGGATAATTAATAACTAAAGAAAGGAGAGTTAATAACAAAAAAAGGAAGAGTTAATAACTAAAAAAAATAAGGGAGAGTTAACAGGGAAGGAAGAAGAGGTACTAAGGAAGAAAGGGAGTTAATAACTAAAGAAGGGAGAGTTAATAACCAGGGAAGGGAGAGTTGATAACCAAGGAAGGGAGAGTTGATAACCAAGGAAGGGAGAGTTAATAACCAAGGAAGGGAGAATTAATAACCAAGGAAGGGAGAATTAATAACCAAGGAAGGGAGAGTTAATAACAAAGGAAGGGAGAGTTAATGACCAAGGAAGGGAGAATTAATAACCAAGGAAGGGAGAGTTAATGACCAAGGAAGGGATAATTAATAACCAAGGAAGGGAGAGTTAATAACCAAAGAAGGGAGAATTATGAAAACAAGTGAGGTGAGAGAGTAAAGAGTGGAGGTAGGAAGGAAGGACGTAGTAGAGTGGGTGGTGTAGCAGCAGACAACAGTCACAGCTGTTACCTGTGTTATCATGTGAACACTAACAACTCACAAGCAACATGCACCAGTGGTAATAACTCTAGCTTGTTAACCAGTGTTAAAGTTCCTGTCACAGTTGGGTGACTTTTTTTTCCCCTAGTTAGGTGGTGGTAAGAGTTATGTAGAGTGACCCACTTGACACTGGTGGTGTTGACGTGACACTGGTGGTGTCCACTTGACACTGGTGGTGTTGACGTGACACTGGTGGTGTCCACTTGACACTGGTGGTGTTGACGTGACACTGGTGGTGTTGACGTGACACTAGTGGTGTCCACTTGACACTGGTGGTGTCCACTTGACTGGTGGTGTTGACGTGACACTGGTGGTGTTCACTTGACACTGGTGGTGTTGACGTGACACTGGTGGCGTTGACGTGACACTGGAGTTGTCCACTTGACACTGGTGGTGTTGACGTGACACTGGTGGTGTTCACTTGACACTGGTGGTGTTGACGTGACACTGGTGGTGTCCACTTGACACTGGTGGTGTTGACGTGACACTGGTGGTGTCCACTTGACACTGGTGGTGTTGACGTGACACTGGTGGTGTTCACTTGACACTGGTGGTGTTGTGACACTGGTGGTGTCCACTTGACACTGGTGGTGTTGACGTGACACTGGTGGTGTTCGCTTGACACTGGTGGTGTTGACGTGACACTGGTGGTGTTCACTTGACACTGGTGGTGTTGTGACACTGGTGGTGTCCACTTGACACTGGTGGTGTCCACTTGACACTGGTGGTGTTGACGTGACACTGGTGTCCACTTGACACTGGTGGTGTCCACTTGACACTGATGGTGTTGACGTGACACTTGTGGTGTCCACTTGACACTGGTGGTGTCCACTTGACACTGGTGGTGTTGACGTGACACTGGTGTCCACTTGACACTGGTGTCCACTTGACACTGGTGGTGTTCACTTGACACTGGTGGTGTCCACTTGACACTGGTGGTGTTGACGTGACACTGGTGGTGTCCACTTGGCACTGGTGGTGTTGATGTGACACTGGTGGTGTTGACGTGACACTGGTGGTGTCCACTTGACACTGGTGGTGTTGACGTGACTGGTGGTGTCCACTTGACACTGGTGGTGTTCACTTGACACTGGTGGTGTTCACTTGACACTGGTGTCCACTTGACACTGGTGGTGTTGACGTGACACTGGTGGTGTCCACATGACACTGGTGATGTTGACGTGACACTGGTGGTGTCCACTTGACTGGTGGCGTTGACGTGACACTGGTGGTGTCCACTTGACACTGGTGGTGTTGACGTGACACTGGTGGTGTCCACTTGACACTGGTGGTGTTCACTTGACACTGGTGGTGTTGACGTGACTGGTGGTGTCCACTTGACACTGGTGGTGTTCACTTGGCACTGGTGGTGTTGACGTGACACTGGTGGTGTTGACGTGACACTGGTGGTGTTCACTTGACACTGGTGGTGTTGACGTGACACTGGTGGCGTTGACGTGACACTGGTGATGTCCACTTGACACTGGTGGTGTTGACGTGACACTGGTGGTGTCCACTTGACACTGGTGTTGACGTGACACTGGTTGTGTCCACTTGACACTGGTGGTGTTTACGTGACACTGGTTGTGTCCACTTGACACTGGTGGTGTTCACTTGACACTGGTGGTGTTGACGTGACACTGGTGGTGTTCACTTGACACTGGTGGTCTTGACGTGACACTGGTGGTGTTCACTTAACACTGGTGGTGTTGACGTGACACTGGTGGTGTCCACTTGACATTGATGTTGACGTGACATTGACACTGGTTTCCACTTGACACTGGTGGTTTCCACTTGACACTGGTGTCCACTTGACACTGGTGGTTTCCACTGGACCCCTGTGGTGTCCACTTGACACTGGTGGTTTCCACTTGACACTGGTAGTTTCCACTTGACACTGGTGGTGTCCACTTCACACTTGGTAGTTTCCACTTAACACTTGGTAGTTTCCACTGGAACCCTGTGATGTCCACTTGACACTGGTAGTTTCCACTGGACCCCTGTGGTGTCCACTTGACACTGGTGGTGTCCACTTGACACTGGTGGTCCACTGGATCCCTGTGGTGTCCACTTGACACTGGTGGTTTCCACTTGACACTGGTAGTTTCCACTTGACACTGGTGGTGTCCACTTGACCCTTGTGGTGTCCACTTGACACTGGTTTTGTCCACTTCACACTTGGTAGTTTCCACTTAACACTTGGTAGGTTCCACTGGACCCCTGTGGTGTCCACTTGACACTGGTAGTTTCCACTTGACCCCTGTGGTGTCCACTTGACACTGGTGGTTTCCACTTGACCCCTGTGGTGTCCACTTGACACTGGTGGTTTCCACTTGACATCAAGTGTCATGTGGGTCACTCAGCAGCAGCCAAGACAAACTCGTACATTGTAATATGTATTGTATTTTGCACTTATTTCTCTCTGTTTTGCAGACATGTATTTAACTAATCATAATAACTTCGAAAGTTTTCTCTGTTACCATTATTATAATCATAACTAAGCACTATACCCGCAAGGGTCATGCAGCGTTGTACTATGTATATTACCTATATACACGTATACACACAATATCACAAAACATCAAGTGAACACTAGGAAATTAGTACTGTACTGTATGTTAATGTAATTTAATAAGAAATTCTAATAAACAAGCTGTATGACCCTTGTGGGTTTAGTGCTTAGTTATGATTATAATTCTAATAAACAATGAAGTGAATACTGTACTATGATAGCAGATAATGTGAGGGGGATCTTAATTCAAGGAATTAGAATTGTTATCTGTTTCCTTAGATCAAGCCCAGTTGCCTCCCATTCCTCAGATGCTGTATGATCCTTATTTGTGAATTTTATTTTGTCAATTTAAATCTAGGTATAATCTTGATCTTGTCAACAACCTATACCAGACTCTAGTGCAATTGCAAGTACCATTTCAAATTGTATTTTTATATTATAAGTTTATATTATAATTCCTACCATCTGTCCATTTAACTTTGTTTACCATTACTTAATTTTAGTCCCTTATATATTTTCTCCTTTATTTTAGCTTTATATAACTACCCTAGTTTATATATTCACAATTGTTAAAATAATCAAGGTGCTATTCTCAGGTGATAAAGTAGAATAAGTTCACAATTTTGCCATTATATTCCAAAGTTCATTTATTTGATTACCACTTTATTGTTCACCACAACCTATATTAGTCCCTTTTATATTATAATTTTATAATATAATTCTAACTTTAAATAATTACCTTTATAGTACTACCTACTATCATATTCCCAAGCTCCATTATTTGATCATCACTTTATTTGTATTAGTCCCTTTTATATTGTCTCCTTTATTTTAGCTTAAAAAAAAAAAAAAAAAAAAAAAAAAAACTACCTTAGCTCATTATTTTACATTTGTTAAATAATTCAGGTGCTATTTTTTAGCTTAAGACTATTTACTTTGTTTTATACTTAATTCTAACTATAGATTCACTACAAATCTTATGATTACAAGCATTGATCCTGATACCAACCTCTTATTTAATGACTTAAATGAATCAAACAGTTACTGTAATTACTACACAGCAGAACAATCAAATGCACTTCTCAGAGCCAACAACAACATAACTATCTTTAACTACAATATCAGATCTTTAAGCAAGCATTACGATGACCTCATAGCATTACTAAATTCCTTACATGCCAATATGTCCATCATTACACTAACTGAAACCTAGCTAAAGCCTGATAGTACAGATGTCTATGCCATTCCTGGTTACACAGCCATACACAACTGTAGGCCAGACCAACAAGGGGGTGGCACAGCCATATACTACTCAGACCAACTAGAATGTATCACTAATACTTGCACAAGGGATGAACATGGGGAATATATAATAGCTAAATTCAAATCCAAATACCTACAAAACCTCTCACATTGATAAACATCTACAGAGTTCCACAGTCAAACATTAGCCAATTTAGTCAAAACCTAGGAAGTATGATAACTGATGCACGCATGAACAAAGATCACTTACTACTCTCAGGTGACTTCAATATAAATCTCCTGCAAGACCAGGACCCACACGTTACTGAATTCACAAACACAATGAGTAACTGTATGTTACTACCAACAGTAACAAACCTACAAGAGTTACAGAGACTAGTGTTTCCCTACTTGACCACATCTGGACCAACACCATATCCCCTTTAAAATCAGGCATAATTACAGATAATACCACAGACCACTACCCTACTTTCCTCATAACAACTCTTGGTAAACTACCCCAAGACACTACTAAAGTCACCTTCAGACTTCACAATGAGGCAGCCATTAATAACTTCACAACAGCAGTAGCAAACATTGATTGGCACACTGAGCTAGAAATCTATACAGATATTGACGAATGTATTAATAATTTTTTAAAAAAGACCCAATACCTCTATAACAAGCACTGCCCTAAAAAAACTAAACAGATGACAGCTAAGAGACTGAACAGTCCCTGGCTAACACCCAGCATTCTCAAATCCATAAATACAAAACACCAATATTTATTTATTTATTTATTTATTTATTTAAAAATTTGAGCACACATACAGAGGTACAAAAAATACAGATAAGAGCAGCATGCCAAAGCCACTTATACTATGCATAGCATTACGGGCTGGCTTAAAATTAACTTAAGATGAACTAAGCAATGATGACATCAGTGATAAAACTTTAATGTAAACAGATTACTATAAAGCACAAGTGAGTATTACAAAGACAGGTCATATGGTTGTATGCATTGTTGTACATTCAGTAGAATGGAGTATTCTGTTTGGTAGTGTATTTAAAAAATAATAAAGTTAGATTGGGTTTTAGGTTTAACATTTATGTGATATAATTGTGAGAAACATTTAAGATATACAATTTATAAGGTTCAGTTATTCAGTATTTATTTGGTTTTGGGTGAGTAAGTGATCTTTGAGAAGAGACTTGAATTTATAAACAGGTAGTGTTTCTTTTATATTTACAGGTAATGAGTTCCA